GTTTATATGAAATATGTTTAATAATTCGAATCGAGAATATTCATAAAAAATTAGCCTCGATTAGAATGTGTAAGTCAGCAGAATTGTGAATTGCGACCGTATTGTTGTCGTAGGTTGATACAACAAACTTGACCCACTAATGAATGGCTGCTGATATAACAAGGACTATTATTAGAGACAACAATTATTATCTCGGGGATCAGAACTATAGTAACGTCAAGATGGTAAGTCAATATACCACGTATTGGCACAACGTCAACTAAGTACTAAATACAATTAGGATAAGTAACATTGTAAGAGTGTACAGTAGTGTTTTAAATAAATGTACCATACCATACCACAAGCAAAGCGTTATTTATTACAAGATCACAAATGTTGAATTTGTTTTGAGCGGTTTCACACCCTGGAGAAAAAGTTACAATTTCTGACACCTTATGGTTAAACTAAAATAAATAAATATTTTCTAATAATTAACTATTTGATTTGAACTATTTTGTGTTTACATGATCGAAAATAATTTGAGCAACCTAAATTTTTATGAAAATGTCAGTTTTGGGACCCCAAAAAATATTCAAAAATGTTTACTACTCATACCTCCCGGCTTCCTTCTAAAAGCACCGCTCACAGGGGGAAATCGATTTAACATGAATCTGTACGTCATAGAAAAAATGTTTCAAATAAAAAATGTAGCTGAGATAATTTTGAACAAAAAAGTTGATCAGCACTTTTGTGTAAAATGAACCGTTCTCTCAGAAACAACCCCTGAAGCGACCAGCGATGTTGAATTTTAGTTCCGCGCGCGAAATCAATTTTAAATCTTCTACTTTTTGTAGATCTTTCGATCTGTTTAATTCTGAAGCTGCCTCTGGTTAATTTCTTGGGAGGTAGATTGCCAACTATTCCTCCATCTTTTAGGTGGTCTTCCGGGGGGTCTTGAACCGGGCGGATTGTTTTCTAGGGCAATTTTTGGGAGTCTATTCTCATCCATTCGTCTTACATGGTTGTACCACATCCTTTTGCGCTGCCTTCCCCATCTTACAATATCTTGAATTTTGCACTGCTCTCTAATGTTTGTATGTCTCACTCTGTCTCTTCTTGTTTTCCCCATTATTGTTCTTAGGGTTTTCATTTCGGCAACCCTTAGCATCTGTTTCGTTTTGTTGGTATCTTCGCGCACTTCTATGCCATATGTCATGATCGGTCGTATGTAAGTCTTATACACTAAAAGCCAAATAAAGTTGCGTGCACGTCACCAATGTCGTAATTCCATTGTATGTGTGGCTACATTTCTATAGAAAAGTGTATGTTACTTTAGTTTGCTAAACAATCACTTTTAAAAATAACCCGATCAATAAAAAAACTTTTGTAACAAAATAATGTATATACAGCTATGTATATATAGCTTTTTTGGATTTAAACGTCCGTCATTGTAAAATTGTTTCATGAAGAAACCACCAATTATTGACGGAGTATTAGTCACTACCAGAAATATTGTCATGTTGCCGCGTCGTTTGTTGAATTTTCATTCAGTGATCTGTGACTTTTGTACTCGTGGTATCGTCGATTTTTGAGGTTATCTTGTGAAAAAAATTTATTTACTTGTCAAAATGCCCAAACAGCTCAATAGTCGATGCAAAGAACTTGGCTTCATTAGTTAACTATTTTGAAGAAGAAAGGATTAATAATGTCTCTTTGTTACCCTTAAACGCTGTACAAGAGGTAATATGCGAATAAAATTTCATTACTTTACTTTACAAACATTTGTATGATTTTAGAGTGTAGCTGCTGCTTTAAAAATCAGCGTAAGAACAGTAAACAGCATATGTGCATATGTCAAATGCAGAAAAAAGGTGAACAGTTCGAGTCACCAAAGAAAAAGCGTTGCACTAATAAACGAGTAACTTATTGTTTGGTAACTCAGTAATAACTTTACCACTTTTATTGTGAAATTACTTACTTTGTGAAATCTATTCATGAATGTATTTAACAAAAAAAATAAATGAAAAAAAAACACTCATTTTTAAATTCCACTTAATATTGTTACGAAAGTTTTATCCCACATAGGAAAAGTCCATTGACGAAAAAGAAGAAGTAGTTCGAGAACATTCAAGATGACATCGAAAATTCTTGAAATGTCTAGTGAAGTTTGGAACGTCAGATCATATGTATATAACAGATGTTTTTGACAGTTGGGGAACAGATGTATTTTGAATGTAGAAGTTTATAGTTGTCAGTTAGTTAAAAGTATTGTTATATTGTTGGTGTTGAATAAAGCTAAGTTTTAAGAAGTGTAACAATATAGTGTGAAATTTGCTGTCTTCACCTTTTTTGTTTATTTAAGTTCTTTTCTGTTAATTTTCATACTTCATAAACCATCTGACAACGCTGCAAATGTTCACAATGATGACGTGAACGCAACTTTATTTGGCTTTAACTGTAGATTCTAATTTTACTATCTGTCCAGACTATCTCCCGCAGACATCCTGACAGTGCAGATGCTTTGTTGATCTGACTCCTCAGGTCCTTTACTGGGTCGTGGGTGCTTGATATATCTATGCCCAGATATCTGAATTGCATCACCTGTTCTATGGGGTTGTCCTCAACCACTAACTTACATCTGAGCGGATCTTTTGCTATTGTCATACATTTAGTTTTGTTGGTAGAGATGTTCATATTTAGTAGTCGGCTTGTTTGAAAGAACTGAAAGAGCTGCCTTTGGAGATCATCTTCTGATTCGGCAATAATTGCTGCATCGTCTGCGTAACACACCATACGAATTCTTTTGTTGCCCATTTTATATCCGAGATTAAGAGATGTTACTTTGTTGATAATTTTGCCCATGAGAAGATTAAACAGGAAGGGGCTTAAACTGTCGCCTTGTCTAATTCCTCCCGGTGTTGGAATATTTTCAGTGAATTCGTCTCCTGCTCTAACTTTGGTTACGTTGTTGTTATTTAGGTTATGGAGTATCTTTATACTAGTCGGTGTTTCATTTTCTATTAATATATTTAGAATGTCTCCCAGGCGAACTCTGTCAAATGCCTTCGTCAAATCAATGAAGCAAATATACGCTGGCATGCCGAACTCTATAGCTTTTTCTTTTATTTGTTTTATTATAAATACTGCGTCTGTTATAGACCGCCCTTTTGTAAAACCTTGTTGTTCTTCAGCATTAGTGATTTGCTTTTCCAATTTGTCCTTGAGAATACCCGTGAAAAGTTTCATTGTTGTATTTAAGAGGGTTATTCCTCTATAGTTTTGTGGGCAGGTTTTTTGTCCTTTTTTAAATATGGGGATTGTGATACTATTATGCTCTGGTGTTTCTGTTTTGTTTAATATTTTGTTAAATAGTTGTGCCAGTTTACTTGCAATTTTAAATAAAATGTGTAATCAACTCTTTGGTAAAAATTCGATATCTTTTGATCAGAGTGTTATATCGTCTAAAAACAAAATTAGTTTAGAGTGCAGCTTGCCTGTACAATTTTTGTATTTTACCGCAAATGAAAGCAGTTTCTATAAGTCTGATCAATAAATAAATCTGCGATTTTGCCATTTTTTAAAATTGAATCGGTCATTTTAAAAACCACATATATCCTCATTTTATCAAAAATAACTTTTCAACCTTATCATGTAGTTTGATATAATATTAATCATACTAATCCCATCCTTAGTGATATAAGCATTCCAAAAGTATTCAGTTCATTTGAAAACCACATATATCTGGGATATATGTTGTTTTTTAAATAACCCGTTAGGAAGCGCGCTCATCGTAATGTTGACATTACTATTTAAAAGCAACAATAATTCTGTGAAAATGGATACCGACGTACGTGAATCAAAAGAAAGACATAAAAGGGTATAAAAAAATGTCAAGTGTGGCAGTCCAGTGGGACTGCCGGTAGAAGTTATACTTATATACAGGCGTTCGCCGTTACAAATTTATACGGGAGTCAATCTGCACAATCATTACATATTTAATGCTATAGCTAAGAGAGAGCAGAAAGAGAAAAAGAATTAGTTATATAGGTATATGGTGCATCGTTTGCTATATATAAACATTTGACCTGTAATAGGAGTATAGTAAATGAAGGATTGTATCAATATTTTAATGAAAATATATATATTTTTATTTTCATATATGTATAAAAGGAGTTGAATGCAAAAAAAAATCACACATACTCTGAAGTAAAATTCATTGTTTATTTTGTTATTAATATAAAAATTACAATACAATACACTGCAACATAATTCAATGTAATTTTTTTTTTATTTAATTAGATGGCTTTGGTAAAGACCAATTAGCCAGACGATTTTTTTAACTATAATTAAAAAAAAAATTAAAAACTCATCCTTCTACAATAACATAGCGAATTCACCCAGCAAGATGCCTCCTCCTCATTACGATGCTCGCGTTCGAAATTGTTTAAATAATTTGTATCCGAGAAGATGGAAGGACGTAGTGGATACATTGAATGGCCACCAAGATCACCAGATCTTACTCCTCTAGATTTTTACCTATGGAGTTACCTTAAACCCAAATTGTATGGGAGCCAGTTGAACGACACTTGATGAACTCCATCAAAGAATAATCGAAGAATGTAATAGGATTGATATGCAAACCCTAAAAAGGGTTATTTAGGATAATTTGCCAGTTCCTTTAATTTTAAAGATGTAATTTAATATATTATTTTTTGTATATTTTATTTTAAATAAAACCATTATGCCATACAAAATTTTTAACTTTTTGAATTCTTCTTTTCAAACCCTTTCCAACGAAATATCGCATGGCCCCCATTGCTATTTAAAAAATCTAACGGGGTAGCTGTCAAGTGAGGGGGGCGAAAGGGGTGGCAATTTTTTTATGTTATAAAATACCTCTATTCAAATAAAAATTGACAGGTCCGAGCGTTTTTCATCTTAAATAACGGAGTTCACTAGGGGGGTAAGACTTAATATCCACATTGTATAAATACCTACTCAGAATAATAACGTTTAACAAATATCCTTACAAATTCATTTTATTGGAATTTTTTTATGTATATTTTAAACTATACATATATGCCTTAAATTACGATTATCAGTAAAAAAACTCACAGCGTACACGAAATTGACAATTTCTACAATAAAATTACAAACCATCGTCCAAATTAATTTATACACGGCTAATTTAAATTAAACAAACTATTTTTGTCCGCTAAATTTAACAAACTCTTTAAAAGCCTCTTGAATTTCTTCGTCCATCTCGGGTTCAGGGTCGCACAGCTCATCTGGATCAGAATCATCTCTGAAAAAAATAAAGTGTTGGTTATTTTTTATTTAATAATTTAGTGCACATTTATAATCTACTCATAAATATAAAAATAAAAAGTAAACGTAATTTGTGACCTTGCTATTAATCTGGAAACGAACAACCTTCCATATAGTATCTAGCACATTCTGTTAGAGCTATATTCTGAAGATAAGATCAAATATAGAGTCTTACTAAATCTATCAAAGACACTTTCCAAGGGCTTTGTTGATTTCGAAAATGCATTCAACTAATCTAACTAATTTCTTGGTTTTTTTTTGTCTCCGTTTTATATCTTGCTGGAAATCCTATCTCGCAAAACGTTCGCAGGTGATCTTCTAGAGTTTGTAGCTCAAAAATTAATAATAAAAATAGAAATTGTGAATTTTTTGATTTTTCAGGGAAAACAAAAATTATTTAGTTGTTAATGTTTCGTCGAGTTGCCCTAGTTTAAAAAATGAATATTCTACGTTTTTAGAACCGAAGATATCGCAAATTACTCAGCGCGCTCCAATTCAAAGTCTGGTGGGCTCAAAACTTCTTCCCCCACAACCCTCCCTTGGCAGAGTCAGCCCCAAAACCTTCACTTTAAAGGACTACTACTTTTTTTATATACATAAATTACATATTTATCAATTGCATCATAAAGTGTACGAGCAGGTATCGATTGACTTCTTCTTCTAGTCCCGAATTCACTAATGAAGGTTGGCTTTATCGATTTGACAATCCGCGAAAATTTCAATTCTTAATATTTGTAAACAAAAAAGATATGATTTAAAAAAAATAATACCTTATTGGGACAGCTATTGTCAACCATACTACATATACATTCAGAAGAAATTCGTTCACGCATTCAACAAGCACGAGCTGCGTTCGCCAAAATAAAAACACTGTTGACAGCACTGTAGCTTTATACAGTGCGTTAAGTTTTTGATTAGGTATTGCACACTATACGGAGCGCAAAAATCGGCAACGTTGCAAATGTTCGTTCTCCGACCCGAGACTATCTGCACCGACAGAAAATCATTTTAGTTTAGTAACTCACAACAACGTTTGGGATGTACTTGTCTGTCGTCCGATCTCATGTTTCATTACGTATGGCCGATTTTAAAAGTAGGAAATTCGATAAAAATGCACTGACCTAATCGGTGCATTGTTATCGATTTTTATTAATATGAAAATTTTTTTGTGGTTGAATTAAAAATAAAAGCGTATTTCTTTAAAAAGATAAAATAAAAAATATACTCTTATTGAAAATTAAAATATTATTCCTAATAAAATAAAAAATAATTCTTTATGACTTACAGAAATGGTTCAAATAGTTGACCTTCTACGGCTGAACAGTACCCCAATCTGTCATAAAAACTTCTGCGAACAGATGAAAGAGTTTCTGCTGTAACAGAATTGGAGACTTCTCTTATTCGATTTTTTAATTCATCCAAATTTTGGGCTCTAGCCTCAGGATGATCGTAGATTATGCTTCTTAAATGTCCCCAAAAAAAAGAAGTCCATGGGTGTAAGATCTGGAGATCGCGCAGGCCACTTAATATCGCCTGTTCCACTGATAACTCGATTCGGGAAAGTATTGTTTAAATACTCCCTAATAATTCGAGCGTTGTGAACTGAATAGCCGTCTTGATGAAACCATTCTCCAGATTTATATCACGAAGATTGAGAATAGCGGGAAGAAGAATATTCAAGTTGCCCTCAATAAAAAATGGACCTATTATGTGGTCTCCTAAAATGCCAGTCTAGACGTTAACTTTTTGAGGACGTTGAGTTCGGTAAACAACACTTCTGTGCTGGTTTTCCCGCACCCAATACCTCGTAATGGAAGGATTGTGTCTCCCTACTAACGAAACAGAAGATTCATCAGTGAATAAAATGTTTTTAATAAAATTTGGTTCACTATTAGCCTTCGTTATTAGAGTTTCACAAAACTCCATTCTTCGAAAGTAATCGCTGGATAAAGCTGCTGCGTTTTCGAATATTTAAAATTCTTGTAACCGTGCTTTTTCCATACTTTCGTTACAGTAACATTGCTAACATCTAACTCTCTAGCAACGCTTCTACTTGAACGTGTTGAATCTACCTCGATTGTTGCACAAATTTGTGTATCCCGGTATTCTCTGTCCTCAACTTTTTCTGGTAACACTTCTTGAGCGTGACATTTTTTGCAATTTTTGAGGCAATAACAACTCTCAAAATTTTTAACAATATTATAAATTGACTGTACACAAGGAATTGGTCTTCCCTCAAAAAACTCAGAAAATAAATCTACACACTGTTGCGCAGAATTGCCACTATAAAACCATTTTATTATTTGAGCTTTTTCCGCGGCCATATAAACAGACATGTTTACAAAAATAAATTAAAACTCTACGCTGTTATACCTTTAAACAACCACGGTATAATGACAATCTGACAAATTTGCCGACGGGCGACGAGCAACGACGAGTCAACGAAGCAGATATGTAGTGCAAGTCGACGACGCGCAGTGTTGCCATTTATAGAGTGTATACCTAATCCAAAACTTAACGCACTGTAGGACTTAACGAATTATAATGTTTAGGACACTGAACTCTTTGAAAAGTGGATAGAAGTGGGAAGAAAATATGGATAGTAAAAAGAGTCCTTCTGGCATCAAACGCCCTAAAATACTTATTAGAAATGATAAAAACCTGACAATTGATCCAAATTTGCTACATATTTGCTCGGATTTAAAAAATATTCCCTCTTCCAAACAAAATGAGCTGTTGGTTGATGTACCAGGGAACGAACCGATAGACTATTTTTTTTTTCTTAACACTAGATGAAAATAGTTTGGACAATATGTTGCGATCAAGCACATGCAATTCTTTCGCGTATTTCACAATGGAAGGACGTTACATTACAAAATTAGAAGAGAGTCCTTATATCAGTGTGAGGCTTGTCCAGATACACGTGGTTTATGTATTACAGGTTGCTAAATGGCAAAAGTTTGTAAATGGAGAGTCCATAATCGTTATTCTTTTGTTTCTTAATATTTTCGAGTATTTTTTGGTCCATTTTTGTGTTTCGTTAGAATATTATTTTTGTTTTTATATTTTATCTTGTTGAATTGTATAATAATTACTTTTTAAAGGACTAATAAATTACTGTATCATTTTGATATTGACTTTTGTTTATTGTTGGCAGGTTATACTCTAAGAAAAGTCGATAATGACATTTTCAATCTTCCCATAGGTAAATAATTGTAGTTCTGACAAAAAAGTAGTTCAAGTCATACTTACTCAATGTCATATTCATCTTCGGCATTTATATGTGAAGCTAAAAATTCTCTTTCCTCAGTTGTCAATGTTTCTCCGTCAATGTCATATGTTACTTGATTTTGAATACCATCAAATGCTGCATCATCTGATTCGGATCTAAAATAAAGAAAACGTGCTTATTAAATACATTAAATACAAACAAAAATTTACATTATAAATAGTATATTACTCATAAAAGAAGTAGAATGTAGCTACACAAAATCTCATCTAAAGCATGCCTCGTTACAAGCTGTTATCACTGCCAGTGATAACAGCTTGTATGAAGCAGAGGCATGGACACTCACTGTTGCGTCTTGCAGGCGGTTGCAGTCTTTCGAGATGTGGTGCTATCGTCGCATGCTCAAAATATCATATATACATCATATAACTAACGACGCAGTAATGCAACGTTTACAATTGAACGAACAATTGTTCAGAATTACTATTGTATTTAATAATTTACACAACTAGCTTGCTCAGATTCAATTGATCCACAGTTGGAGTTGATTTCACTCTTCTTACCTCTGCATAATCTACATATACTAATTCCACAGTTTTATATTTCAACACCTGTTGGTCAGTTGGTCTTTAGTAATGCTATTACATATTAGTTTTACAGTTCCCCCATTGGCTTGAGGTTTAACTGAACTACTTGAACTATACCCATTTACACACTGCTTTCAATTCTGATTTAATTTTAATATTTCAATTTCATAGTCAATTTTCTTCTCGTTTTGCAGTATTGACAGTGCCTGGTAGACCATTTTATTGTAGTCAACTACCCACTGTGCAATAGATCGTTTGGTCTATTTCTTTCATTCACACTTTATGTACACTTCATTTAGCCTCAAACCTACAACCTTATTATTACAGACGGGTGTGAGTGTGAGATCTGGATTATGCAATCTAGTTTAAATCATAATATTCTATATGTCATACTTCATCAGCTGATTTTTTCAGTAGTAGTTCTAGTTGGACCTTTGGCCAATGACAACTTATACAGAATTTTAATATATTATGTGCTGATCACAGATCCATAACTTTGACTGCCTATCAAAGTTGTCATATGTCACATGTCACCGTATCATTTCCGCTTAGATCATTATCCCTCCAGATACTGACAAAGAATGTAGCGTAGAATCTTTTAAGTAATTTTAAACTGTTTGTCCTCGTTTTAGTGTAGTGTTTTGTACAATTTTATGTCAGTATTAATGTTTCCACATTCTACGCTTGCCGAATAGTTTATATTTGACGAAGTAAGTCTAAAACGTTAATCTCAAAAACTTTTTTTCATCCATTAACTTCGAGTTTTTTATCGAAGTTAACTAATTTCCTTCATCTAAAAAACGTTTTCTTGGCTTATTTCAGATGCCCCTGAAGATGCTATTTTAAGCGAAAGTACTTGGGCTAGATTTAATTAACTTGTGCTCGATAATAGCCTTATTTTTCAAAGTTTATAAATAATTATATTATGTATTATAGAGTTATAGTATAGTGTATCTCTCGGTCCCCGTCATGAGCTATGGGGCGGAAACTATGACTCTAACCAAGACTACGGCTTCGAAATTAAGAGTGGCACAGAGAAGAATGGAACAGTCGATGCTAGGAGTAACGTTGAGGGACCGGAAATAAGAAACGAAGATCTGCAAAGAAGGACAAGTATTGCTGATGTTGTGGAATGATGATGATAATGAGTATAGTATAGTAAACTGAATTATTACTATATTTAAAATGTCATTAATAGAATAAATTTTATTGTGTGTAATAAATTATATACAAATTTTATATTCCTTTCATTTCCTTTTATCAGAACAGGATCCAACATTGTTAGTGAATACAAAATATATGAAATTAAAAATTGTTTGAGATTCACTGATCATCGCCTAATTACTAACCAGTCTTTTATATGATTTCTAGTTTTTTTAGGTAGTTTACAGTTTAATTAGTGATTAATGATCCGGAGAAAAAAAGGACACTGTTGTAGTGTGCTGCTTAATAAAACTTTGTGCATTCGTATCTTTTCTCTACGCTTCAGTAGATATATAAGACAATACATAAAAAACATCCATCTTGGAGGTATATACTTACTCTGATTCTTCAGTAAAATGTCCCCAATTCGACGCTCTTAACGGATAAAGCGACTCCAATAAAAATGCTGCCGATCCATCTACTCTATTTCTAACTGATCTGAGATGACTGAATATCATGTCTAACTCTGACTTATTACTTTGTTCCAACGAATATCCAGTCAACTGAAAAAAAAAAAAAAAAATCAATGAGCAATATCCGAGAAAAAAAATGAATACACTTAAATACAAATCGATTATCTCGTCAGATTGGGAGTAAGCAGATTGAAAGACTTCAGTGTCAACGCAGTTCTTCCCACGAACTTAGTAATTTACACACACACACACACATTATATATATATATATATATATATATATATATATATATATATATATATATTTAATTACTCTCCATTCTTCACAGTCCTTGGGGTTTCCTCTCCGATTTCTAACACCTTTCTCATTAACATCCTTTTCTGCTTCGTACATCCTAACCATCTTTTTCTTGGTCGACCTACTCTTCCTTTGTCATTCATCTCTATATTTATTAATATTTTTGGTATTCTTTCTTCTTTGGTTCTTTCTAAATGTCCCAACCAATCTCAATCTGGATGCTTTTACAACTTCTGATATTACAAGCTCTGTTCTTGGCATTGGTCCTTTTTCTACACACCTCCTTCTCTTTAATACCTTCAAAATTCTTCTCAATATTTTCCTTTTCCATATATTTATTTTTCTTCTTGTATTTGGTTTAGCACCTTGTTTCGCTTGCATAGTGGACTTTCAGTCTCAAAACAGGGCCTCAATGGGAAATTCTAAATTGTTGAATTCCTGCTTCCCTAATTATTTTACACTAAAAGTCATGGTAAATTATGTGTAGAGGACTGAAATTTGTATCGAAAACAAATGTTAAAATTGTTCTGCGAATTAAACGTTTTCCAAAATTTGCACACGCATGCAAGAATATGTACGACGTGTTGTGTTTGGTCACATTGCCGTTTCTGACATTTGACAATATTTGAATTGTCAAAATTTGTATTTTGTGATTTATTGTTTAAAAAACAATAAAGTTGATTGAAGTTGAGCTGAAAAATGTTTTATTCAGGCAATAGTGAGCGAAGTGTCAGTTCTTTATTTAGTGCAAGATATCCAAATAGACCAATTCCAAGTCATTCAACAATTTAAATGATTTTACAAAATGTTGAAAATACTGGGACCGTAATTTCTAATTACCTGTACAAATTACAGGTAATTAGAAACCTGTACAATGTACCGGGTGGTCCAATAAGCCGATCTCTCGGCTATATATCAGAAACTATTCATGTTATAACTTTAGGAGAAAAAATTCCTTAGTAAAAGTGGCCAAGAGAAATCGCTGGAAATAACTTTCAAGATTCTGGATTAACCGCTAGGGGGCGTAACCTGCGGAGAAAATTTTGAAAACCAGTTTTTTTGGGAAATATGACCAATTATACCAAGTGTTAAATAAGTAAACTAGAAAGAGGCATAAATTCTGCACAAAGCTGTTCAAGTACTTTTTTTTATTTTTTCAAATAAAGGGTGGGGAGAGTGGGAAAGTATTTGTGGATAAATACCTATAACTTTGGTTTGGATCAACCGATTTTAACAAAATTAGTGTCATTAGAAAGAGTGTGGATGAATTAATTTACATCTACTATAAAATTATTGCATTTAGTTTTAATTGTCGTAGGTAGAGGGTACTTTCGATTAGAAAAGATTAAAATTTGTTTTTCTTCAAAATGTTTAATGGAAACACCTATTTATTGTAAATTATAATGAAACTGGATTAAATTCGTAACAAAATGGCGCAAACCGCATGTTACTAGCTTTTATCGAACTCGAGATATGAATAAAAACGCATAAACTTAAGTAAGTATAGTATTGACACACCCTGTGTGTCATAAATTAAAAAATAAGTCAGTAGGTACTTTCAAATTTTTTTATAGCAGAAAACTCTTAATGTTGATACCTATTTTGACCATTGTTATTTCATATGATTAAAAATTGTTTTTTCGAAACTAAGTAGGTTACGACAATGAATTTGACAGGGAGTTCATATTAGGTTTGTTCTAGCAAACAGACAAACTAGTCAGAAACCGTCAGCAAACAGTTGGTCAGCGAGAGAAAATAATACAGTCACCAGTGCTATATCCCCGTTACTCGCACTGGTCCACTATTCACTGATGGTTTCAAACCATTTGAAACTGATGCTAGAACAAACCTATTGTTTATTTATTGACAGCAGTCAAAATATTGTTAAGAAGTGTTATATGTATTATAATTCAAATTGAAAATTGCATTTTTTTCAATAGATATTAATAATATATTGGTAATATTAGTAATTGGTAATATTAGTAATTAATTATCAGTACTAATAATTCGTGATGAGTATATCAAATTGTATATGATTGGAGTTTATTTCGAATATCACCAAAATGGCGCTATTGCCTCACGTATATATTCTGTAAGATATCCTGGCAGGAGATATTGTGGCAAATAAGTAGAGATTTCGGACTACTTATATGTGGATTCTGTTGAATTAAAGCAAGAACATTGATTGAATTATCTTCGGTCATAACTCTACTACGTCGTTTAAAATAAGGACGAGAAAAACTACCAGTTTCTCTTAATCTTTTTACCTTTCTTTCAAATACTTCTTTGCCATAATGTCTCCTGTCAGGATATCTTACAAAATATATACGTGAGGCAATAGCGGCATTTTGGTGATATTCGAAATAATCTCCAATCATATCATACAATTTGATATACTCATCACGAATTATTTGTACTGATAATTAATTACTAATCTTAACAATATTAATATCTATTGAAAAAAGTGCAATCTTTAATTTGAATTATAATATAGCACTTCTTAACAATGTTTTGACTGCTGTCAATAAATAAACAATATGAACTCCCCGTCAAATTCATTGTCGTAGCCTACTTAGTTTCGAAAAAACTATTTTTTACAAAATAGGTATCAACATTAAGATTCTTCTGCTATAAAAAAATTTGAAAATACCTACTGACTTATTTTTTAATGTAATTTATAATACAGGGTGTGTCGATACTATACTTACTTATGAGTTTTTATTCATATCTCGAGTTCAACAAAAGCTATTAACATGCGGTTTGCTCCATTTTGTTACCAATTTAATCCAGTTCCATTATAATTTACAATAAATAGGTGTTTCTATTAAAAATTTTGAAGAAAAACAAATTTTAATTTTTTTTATTTGAAAGTCCCCTCTACCTACGACTATGAAAACTAAATGCAAGTATTTTATAGTAGATGTGAATTAATTCATCCACACTCTTTCTAATGACACTAATTTCATTAAAATCGGTTGGACCAAACCAAAGTTATAGGTATTTATCCACAAATACTTTCCCACTCTCCCCCTCCCTTTATTTGAAAAAATAAAAAAAAAGAACTTGAACAACTTTATGCAGAATTTATGCCCCTTTCTAGTTTACTTATTTAACACGTGGTATAATTGGACATATTTCCCAAAAAACTGGTTTTCAAAATTTTCTTCGCAGGTTACGCCCCCTAGCGGTTAATCCAGAATCTTGAAAGTTATTTCCAGCGATTTCTCTTGGCCACTTTTACTAAGGAATTTTTTCTCCTAAAGTTATAACATGAATAGTTTCTGATATATAGCCGAGAGATCGGCTTATTGGACCACCGGGTACATTATAATTTCTAATGTAATGAAAACTTCGTTTTCTTGATCTACAGATGCTTTTTGCCCTTCTTCTTTCCATTTCATATTTAGCCTTATTTTATTCTTTTCCCATCTGTAGCATTTTTTCTTTTGCATTCCTTCTCCCATTGATAGCTTCTTTGGATTCGTTATCAAACCACTCGATTTTACCGCTATTTCAATAACTTTTATGTTTCTTCCTTTCATCCGTACTCCCTTGGGTTACATTAAGATTGTGATTTGAAATTTCGTCTGCAAATTGTTGTCCACATTATTTAAAGTTGCTTTTAGGGTTAAGTTTATATTCTCTATCTTTATTAAGTCATATTCTCTTTGAATGACATGAAGCACATGATCTATTTGATTGGTATATTTACCATTTGAAGTTAGCCAGGGACCCTTATAGATGTCTTTACTAGTCTTTGTCCGTTACATTGGTAATTTTGTATTAGCTACAACTGGCTTATGCATTTCTTCCTTTCCAATATTAGCACTGAAATCTCCTCATTCCCGTTTCCCTATATCTTAATATCCCGTTTTGAAAAATAGTTTTTGTTTTCATAAAAAGACTCTTTTTCTTTGTCCTCTTTTTCCACGCTTAGCGCATGCACATTCAGGATACCTACTTATAAAATGTTTTTCGTTTTTATTTTAAGACTAAAAATTCTTTTTCTAAACTAAATTCAAGTATTAAAACTTACCTTCAAAGCTTGACATATAGTCTTAATATTTTCATTGCCGCCAATATCAAGCAATTTTTTAAATAATTTAATTAATAGCGTTCCATAAACAAAGAGATGTGGTAGCTGTATATATAATTCAGCTATTAAAGGTAAAACGTTTTTCGGGTCGGGATTGTCGTCTATTTGTTTTTTACATTTCAAATGTAACTCTGCCCGAAATTGTGGTGAAATAGGTTCAATAGTCCAACACAACCTTGCTGCTGTATACCTAAAGTTGGGACAATTTATTGCCTAAAACAAAATATGATGTTAAAAGAGGATCTACATTATACAAACAATAATACAGTGCATATAAATAAGGTTCTCCAAATAATTCACATTGACAATATACAAGGTCTTCCATAACACTGCATCGGTGTAGATTTTTTCTTAATGAAACACCCTGTATTATAAATTTAAAATCCGCTTCACATCCTCTTTGCAAGAATACGTTTTGTGTTACACATGGTATTTAAAAAGTTATAACCAAATTTCGATGAAACTCCAAGTTTAACGCCCTGTATAATTGAAAAGGGGTACAAAAGCAACGACAACCATAGTTTTTATATTATTGTCAAAATTCCTAAATGTTATTAATTTTCCTAATACTTTTTAAATCTAATACACAGGATAAGTCAAACAAAACACACAGTCATTATTTGCAGTATTTTTAAATGCATCACCATGTATTTTATATCGCCATCATTACCTAAAGTCCATGTATAAAACTCCAGCAAATAAAAAATGAAATCAGTCGTACGCGTGATCACTAAGTTTAGGGTATCGTTTAGCTGTCGCTATGAATTTTAGCAGGAAGCGTGTCAACTATGGAGAATTTGATGAAAAAAGGAAATCATGAAGAGCTCGTTGTTTCGGCTACATTTGACCACTTAGGGCGCATTTGGTTCATAGTTTCATTTAATATTTGCCCGACTTTAGAGTATAGTTTCTAAGTATTTCGTATGTCTATAGTTATTAGTTTTGGAGATATTTTAAATTGTAATTACAAAAGAGGTATTTCATGAATGAAATTTATTATCTTTGTTTGAAAGGCTTTTTAAAATCATAAATAAAATAAAAAGAAAGTTAAAAATTAAAATGTTCACGACTATTAATAGTACATTGTTTACCAGGTAGGAAAAGCTTAACATTCCTGGACGACTGTGAAGATTGCTAAGTCGAGGCGCAAGCCGAGACTTAGCAACACAGAGTCCAGGAATGTGGCTTTTCCTACGAGGTAAACATACTATTTTTCCGCAAATCGTTTAAAATTCGACAGATATTGATTGATTTAAAAAAAAACGCGATAATTTTATTCCCAAATAAATGGTGCTTTGAAATTCCTAATAAAATTACTTGGGTTACTATGGAAACGTATTGAGGTTGAATTGTCAAACTTGACGCTTATAAATTTAATTGCTGGTGTTCTCGAAAGTAAAATGATAAGTGATGATGAAATTTCCATTCCTGGGACTCCTCCAGAGCTGGTTGAGGCAGTGAATACTGCTTCATTAGAATTATTGCCAAAGAAATCAAGAGAAAAGTACGAAAATGCTTACAGACGTTTTATGGATTATCGCATGAGTAAAAATACGAGTTCTTTCTCAGAAAATGTTGTAATGGCATACTTCCTAGACCTTTGTTTAAAGATGAAATCTTCAACATTATGGGCCAATTATTCAATGCTGAAGTCAACCCTTGCACTTAAACACAATGTAGATATATCTACATACTCAAAACTTCGTTCTTTATTGAAACGGCAAGCTCAAGGTTATAGGGCAAAGAAATCTAAGATTTTAACGAAGGAAGAAATTGAAAAATTTATCCAGGAAGCTCCAGATAAAGAAAATTTAATGATTAAGGTAATTTACAAGGTTTTAATTTCTATTTAGATTATAGCTTTATTTATTTTTTAGGTGGCTGTAATATTTATTATTTCTGGGGCCTGTAGAATGGATGAGTTAGTCCGAATGACTGTACACGATATAGAAGACTTAGAATCTAAGCTTTTAATCAGCATACCTGATTCGAAAACCAACAAACCAAGATCATTTGTAATTAATCAGATCTACTTGAATGTTTATCGAAAGTATGTTTCGTTAAGATCAGAAAATATGAACAGTGACCGATTTTTCTTTAAATATCAAAGCGGAAAGGGTTGTAGACAAGTGGTAGGAATTCATCAATTTAGAAAAATGCCCAAAATAATTGCTACTTATTTGAACTTGGTAAATCCGACAGAATATACTGGTCACTGCTTTCGTCGGTCTTCTGCAACAATATTGGTTGACTCTGGTGCCGACATAACTAGTTTAAAGAGGCATGGCGGATGGAAGTCATCAAACGTTGCTGAAGGATATATCGAAGAATCGCTTAACAATAAGGTTGAGGTGGCAAATAAAATTTTCACAGTACAAAATATTCAACAAAATGACACTTCCACCCTGCATGTTGTCCAAAATGTTTCTCATAGTTCTAAGAGTGTTCCTCCAATGTTCAATAATTGTACTAACTGTCAAATTACTGTAAATATAACAAATTGATCTTAAAAATGTATTCAGCAATGACTTGATGTTTTCAAAATATAAATTAATTCCTTATAAGCAATGTGTTTTCTATCATTTATGTACGGAAATATCATTTCCTTACAGTAAGGAAATGACATTTCCTTACAGTAAGCAAGTCCTGACTTTTTCTTCAAGAAATTTTGACAGGAATGTCAAAATTTCCTGGCGATTTGCGGAAAAGGTACTTTACATACGTGCACACGAAGGCAGAAGTAAAAAACTGTTTTCCATTTAATGCAACTGATGGCATATGAAAAAAATCAAGTAAAAGTATGTACGATTTTAATAAAAAAATATGTGAAAAATCAGAAAACGTAAAGACATCTTCTAAATTGAAAATTTTAATCAGTAACATTTATATTGTAATAAAACGATAAAGGTTTGATTAAATTTGTTAATTTTGACTTTATTTTATAATTAAAAAAAAATCCTTAAGACAATTAAGTTATAGTTGTATAAATATTTATCAACTCTATGAATGTTGTGTCGGACAGATCATTATATGTTTTGAAATTACTATTTTACCATTTTCTGCTATTTTTTAAGGTTACATTTCCTGCTTTTTGCTTTCCTGAGTTTAGCAACACTATTCATCAGGAAACAGTAAGGTTTACCGCTCAGTATAACGATCATAGGTGGTTTAAGGTTGGTAAAGGATCTTGGAGGCCGTATGGGTTGCCGATGCTCATACTGTAATAATACTCCTGAGTAATGTCCACTGTTTCCGACGAAAGAGTCGAGGGTTCTAGAAATAGAACTCAGCTTCTGCCAACAAATCCTACTCTCACGTCCCCGAAGGCTTTTGCCACGTAACCACTGTATGCATGGCGTACAATGGTTGTACGTTATGTAGCAGACGAGAGGGGTGAAAGACGAGTTTCTGGTGTCTAAAAACTGGAACATATCGGCTAAGGGAATAAACCCTGACAGAAAATCCTGGTTCTCCATGTTGGGGATTGGACAATGGGCCGGTAACCCGTTATCGTAAAAAGTATAACACCACGAAACCTTTAAATAAGCCTCGGAATATGGACTACGGTACCTGGAATGTCCTGATATTAAATAAACCAGGAGCACAAGCATCAATACTTAACGAGCTCAGAAAATACAAAATAGAAAAACGCATACAATACTGTATAGCGGAAAAGAGAGCGGAAAGAAAGAATTCGGAGTAGCTTTCATACTTGACAATAAGATAAAACACGCCATATTAGATTTCAAAGCAGTGAATGAGAGAATATGTAAACTAAGAATAAAAACAAAATTCTTTAGTCTCTCAATCATTAACATACATTGCTCAACAGAAGAACACAGCATGGAAATAAAAGAAGATTTCTACGAACTGCTAGAAGTATACGACAGCTCACCAAGAAACGACATCAAGATCGTACTAGGAGATATGAATGCTCACATAGGCAAAGAAGAACTTTTCTTAGGAACCATTGGTAAACATTCACTACATCAAAATACCAATGAAAATGGAGAATTACTTATCAACTTTGCCAGTAGAAAAAAACATGATCATAAGTACGACTTTTTTCCCACACTCCGACATACACAAAGCAACATGGATTATGCCTGGAGAAACAACCGCAAACCAAATTGATCATGTCTTGATAGACAAACGGGCCGCAACAAGCATACAAGATGTGAAGAGCCGAAGAGGAGCATGCTGCGGATCTGACCATATCCTAGTACAGATAAAATACAGATGCAGAATTCAGAGAAACAGGAGGGAAAGACAGGAACAAAGAACAGAACAGCTAGATATACAAAAATTGAAACAACAAGATGTCAAACAGAACTATGAGAGAGAAATAACACAAACACTGACAGACACAGGCAGTTTAGGCACCGAAGAACATTGGGAAGAAATCAATACAAAAGTTATTGACGCAGCAAGAAAAATCGTAGGCAAGAAAAAGAAAAATACAAAAAGGGAATGGTCCAATGACGAATGTAATAAGGCCGTACAGAAAAGAAATGAAGAACACAAGAAATATATGGAAAGAACAACCAGAGAAAGAAAATATGCCGAACAGAGAAAAGAAAATACGAAAACAACAATATACAGAAAATGGAAGAAAATCTTCAAAACAACAATATAAGACAGGCGTACAGATAACTACGCAATTTAAGAGAAGGATACAAACCCCGAACAAATCTATGCAGAAATCAAGAAGGGAAAATAACCAGTGATCCAAAAGAAATAAAATCAGTCTGGAAAACCTATTTCCAAACTCTTTTAGGGACACAAGAAAATAAAGAGCATATGGACATGCATCACATTGAGTGGAGACACCGAAAATATAGAACCCCCAACGATGGAAGAGGTAAAACAGGCAATACGAGCACAAAAGAACAATAAAGCTCCAGGTATTGACAACGTCCCCCCTGAGCTATATAAATTAGGTGGCGATCACCTAATAGGACAAATGCATATGCTCATGAACAAGATTTGGAAATATGAAAAGATCCCTAATGATTGGAAAACCAGGATTATATGCCCAATCTATAAAAAAGGGGATAAACTGAAATGCGAAAATTATCGCGGCATAACCATCTTGTTCACGGCGTACAAAATTTTTACTTACATACTAAACAAACGACTTCCAACAACTAACTGAAAATATTGTCGGAGAACATCAAACCGGTTTCCGACAAGGAAGATCTACAAGTGACCAA